GGATGAATATCGAAAAAGAAAATAAACAATCTAAGTAGTATTGAGCTTCTCATTGTCATGTATAACAGTAGTCAGTAAATAAAACTGTGGCCACTTTTAAAATGTGTAATGCCTAGTGAGATTTACGCACATGAAGCCAATAGCAAACGCTCCCACCAAATTATGTTCTTGGCNCCACTTTTAAAATGTGTAATGCCTAGTGAGATTTACGCACATGAAGCCAATAGCAAACGCTCCCACCAAATTATGTTCTTGGCTCTGCCTCTAATGTTAGGCCTAATTATGAGTCCGTAGTTCAAGTTCTAAGGTAAGAAAAGCCATCAGAGTGCATTCGACTGAACCACGAAGAGGAGAGGAGAGAGCCACCAGCGCGTGAAATGAGATACATGAGAAATGCCACATATGCAGACGCTGAAAGGACGATCACAATCCCAAACAGCAGGCTATTGACGTGAGAAATGAAGAAGTGAAGCAAGACATATCCATTGATCAGGATCACCATTGCTGCTATACTCCACACTATTCTCTGCAACAAACACAAATAAAGTACATTGATAACTACTTTCGGTTTAAAGAAATTGACTATGGCTCTACCGAATACATTAAACCAATTCGTCTAAAAGTTTAAGCTGTTACACGAAGTAGTAGATTTTGTGTTCAAGTCTGGTTACTACCCATATTTAATAAAATCCTCATAATTCAGCGCTTGAAATAGTCTGGTTAGAGATTAAAATATTCTCTCCTATTGATGCATGTGAGAGCATGCTTCTAATTCTTTTTAAATCAGTTCTCTATTGCATTTTGATGTGAAAAGCAAGCATGAACCTACAGATCAAAATTTAAATACCCAACAACTCAAAACCCGATCTTAAAGACAATATAAACTGAAAGAACTAGATATAGTTCACTGAATAGACAAATGAAACCAGACAACAAAGTAACAGAAGGAAGTTATAAGTTACCTTTGACGAAGTTCCGATTTTAAAGCCTCCCATAATCTTCTCATTTGACACTAATGTTAGCAGAGGGATAATTGCAAATGGAATTTGCATACCCTGGAGCACATTAAGCCACTCATTCAGAACATCAAGCGAGTCTTCAGATCTATTGAAAATAATAGCTATAACTATTGTTGGCACAATGGCACAACTTCTGGTGATCACTGATCTTAGCCATTTCTTCAACTGAAGGTTAAGGAAACCACCCATAATAAACTGCCCTGCATAGGTACCAGTCATGGTACTACTTTGCCCAGCTGCTAGAAGACCAATGCCCCATATATAAAGAATCGGAAATAATCCTCCACCATACCTCTGTTTAAGATAATCGCCCGCATTTACTAAGCCTATACCACTGGCTTGAGAAGTCCCATAGAATCCCTTTGCAAATACTGCTGTGACACATAGATTGATAATGAATGAAACAAGAACAGCAATCGAGGACTCAATTGTGTAGTAATTGAGAGCTTCTTGAACTCTCCCTTTATTTTGGGGATTGATCTTTCTTGATTGAACTAGAGCAGAATATAGAAAGACATTATGAGGAGTTATGACACAGCCTACAACTCCAACTGCCTTCTGTACTGTCTTGGAGCTAAGTTTGGGAATCAGAAGTCCTGAACAAAGAAGACCAAATCTCCGTTACGTTGATGATGAATGACAAGCTGAATTTGACCAAAGACAGACAATTAAAATGAACTGACCTATAATAAGTTCTTTTCCACTGGGTTTTGTGTCGAAAAACATCCAGGTAAACGATAGTGCCATAGTAGAAATAAGAACTCCAAAAAAGGCTTCTAGTTTTCTGACTCCGTAGTTCTCAAGAAATAAGAAGATGAAGCTGTTCATGAAACAAAAACCCATTCATTCAACAGAGAGAAGACATTTTTATTGAACTTGTCGGTCAAGCGTCAAGGAAAGTATTACTATAGCTAAAAAAAATTAGAGACCACAGGATAAAACATAAGCTCGTTGATCTACAAGAGTAACATGTAACATAAGCATCCAGCTATGACTATAATACTCCTGTCTTCCCAATGGATCCCTCTTAGCACTAACAATTGAATGAACCTGATTTCATGTACACGGGAGTGTGGTAAAAACAGACAATCTTCATTCTTTATTACTTTTTAAATGCATTCTGAAGGATGTGACTTATCCTAGAAAATGATGCACTACTAAAACCTTTTAAAACTAACTTTCTAGAACTGAAACTTTAAATTATTTATATTATTATACCCTATGCTCTGGCAGAAAACGATTACCTTGACTACAGTTTTGTCAAAAGAAGCCTATTCTGGATGTGCCAAAATTTGTTATGGGGAGAAAAGACATATTCTTGTTATGTTCACATATAAGGAAACTATGTTAAAACATTGAGCTTTCTTATAGTTGCCATTCTAATCATAATACAGGTCTTCACTAATATAGGAATTATCGTAATATTAATATTCAGTATCATGAGCGTACAATCCAATAGATATCATGAATCTCAATTTGTTTGTAAACTCGTATTGGTGGCTAAAGCATAATTAAAATCAAGTGAAACAAACATGATCTTTCATCAATAAAGTTGAGCTGTCTGTAAGTTTTTACTAAAACTTATGAATTGGTGCATTGACCTATGAACTGATGACTTGGTGCATCCTATAGATCAAGTTATCTTTTGAACTTGATAACTTCTGTATGATTATGGTAATTCAGCAATCCATTGGCTGTTAAAGAATCCATTGTTCGCCATTAGTATGTTTCAAACTATTAGTACTCGAAAACCAATTTTATTCCACAGGCGACACAGTTCAAAATGAGATACACAAACACAAATGGTGCTCTGTATTGGTGCTCAAAGCATAACACCCTGAACCAGAAAGTAAATAAGATATTTCACTTTTACTGCACAACGACCATGAAGAATAGACTTGTGTCCATTAGGGCTGTCAAAACACACCCTACAAATGAAGGCTCTTAATATTCTGCCCCCAAATTACAAGTGGTGAGTTAAGTAAGGATAACTGGTGAGGATAAAAATTATAGTCTCGTCTTATTTCAATATGCTATCACATTTTACACCAATCAGTGAATATATGTGATAATTGGCTAATAAATAAAGTTCCTGACAGTTCTCATAGATTCAAGCGTAGTTCTATTCAAAACTCTTAGTTAACAAATACTTAAATGTATTGTATGGTTCTATGTACACACAACACACATTTATTCATTATAATCGGTTATTTTAACATTCTAGCTAACTGGGTAGCCCTTAAACCAATGTTTTGCAATTGTGTCCCAAGATCACAGTCACAAGGCAACAGCATTTGATGATTCTTGATGTTGACAAATTATGACATCAACAGTATCCCTTGCCACATGTAACTCTTCCACACTTTTGATTTTGAACTCGTCCATCACATCGCTGCATGGATTTTCTCCACATAGGGGGAATGCAAGTAATGAAATATGTTAAACTAAACAGAACTAACCAATCAGAAGCAGTGATAAGTACACCTGCCCAAAGAGGCAATACCCCATGGCTCAAAATCTTGATAGCAATGGCACTGCCAATCACTTCCTGAATATCAGCCCCAATCAAGGCTAACTCCGCCATCAGCCACAACAAAATTCCAGCCCAGTACGGATACTCCTCCCGGCATATCTCTGCCAAGTGCCGTCCCGTGGCCACCCCCAACCTCAAAGACAAGAGCTGAATAACGAGCCCCATAAACGTAGCCCACATTAGCAACCAAAGTAAAGAATAGCCCGCAATTGCCCCTGCCTGCAGATCACCCTCCAGGTTTCCCGGATCAAGAAATGCCACGCTCATTAGAAAGCCCGGCCCGAGGAATTCCCACAGCTTCTTCCATGAAAATGGTGGAACCGCCCCTTCGTCATTTGGCTCCATTTCCAACGCCAGAATATTTTCTTGGGATTCATCGTGATCGAACAGCAGAGGATTGGAATCTGCATGGTGGGGCGTACCATTATTGAGTTTTGGTGGTGGAGTTGGACGTGGAGGTGGCAAATTCATCGTATCATTTCATTTGCATTTGATTTTCTCAATGTATACTTGAAAATTCAAGAATTTCTTAACTGGGTTAATGGAATTGTTGATGGAATTTAAGACAAATAATAATTTGTAGAAATCTTCACTCGTGTAATATAGCACTAAGGGAATTAAATTGGACGATACTTATGGCTACTGTAAAAGATCACAACACCACTTACAGAAAATGTAAGCGTTAATCACTCCGCCATTCTTGGTAAAACAAATAAGAAAGTCGCAACGTGTTAAAAATATCGGTGGTCACTCGTTAGAACTTTTTTGCATTTTTTAATCAATACCTAATTTACAAATTTTAATTAAATTACGAGTTAAACAATAGGTGCGACCTAAAAATTATAAAAAGACAACTGTCATGTTAGGGATCTGTTGCACAAAATGATTGACGTTGAACAAATTATAAATTTAGCAAGTAACAAGACAGTATTTTTCCGTTCCTGGTAAACATAAGTGATGGCATGTTCAAAACATCATCACTATGCTGATTTTCTTTGAGGAACAATGACTGAGTATCGAAAATATGTGAATGAGAACAAACAGCTGAGATGCCAAATTCCAAAGTGAAAAAGCAGAGAGACAGAGAATAAGAGGGTGTATTGGGTTCTTCCTTCTCTATGCCTTTTGTTGGTTGCTTTTCAATGGCTAAGTTTGCATTAGCCTCTCAGGGGAGGAGTAGGCTGCCAAGAAATTTCATTGACACTAAAAAACACTACCCAGGGAAAATCTAAACTATGAAGAAAAAGAAAAGAGCAGCACTTGGACAGCCAAATGCAATGCTAATGCTGATTTGATGACTTCGTTCTAACTGCAAAAGTGGAATGATTTCAAGGAAAACACCAAATAAACAGACAATGAAGGTACATGACAACAACTGGTCTTAAAAGACCAAATCTTATTGGCTTGATTTAAGTCCCTTCTAGCAACTACCCAAATTCATATCTGACTTCATCAAATGAAAAACCTTTCATTTCACAAAACTGATGAATAAGATGTTACATCTGGACAGCAATAAATATTGCACAATAATGACAGAAAAGCAAGTTCATCTAGTTTTTATCTGCTCTTTTAGCATGTACATTTCCCCTCCAGGAATGCACTGTTAGATATATGGTTTCTGTAGAGACAGGGCAGTGCAATGTCATTTCCGTTATTTGATGATGATTTGGAGGTTGCTATATAAGGCATTCAAGACAAACTATTTTCAGCTCAATGATCAGCATAAGAATTTCCCTTGGAGATTAATTGGTTTAAACAATTTGAAAGTTTGCTACGGCTATGTGAAATAAGATATACAATAAATGCTACATATGCTGCTGTTCCAGCACAAACAAGAAAACCAAAAAGCAGTCCATTAACTTCGGACAGAAAAAAGTCGAGCAAAAGATATCCATTAATCACTATCACCAGGCCAGCTACTGTCCAAGCAGTTCTCTGCATTACAGATAAAAAAGAAGTATGAGAACATAGCATTTATATCCTTGTTTACGCCCTAAAAAATAAAAGATATCAATCTGCTTCTGTCGGTCAAAATTCCTAGATTCCCTACAAGTCATATCCAGCAAATCATAATAAGATGCAACTGGAATTTAATGGTATGCAATTAGCTAATACTCTTAGAGAAAACAGATAAAGATGATCTCAAGTGCAGAACACAATTCAATTCTTGCACAGAATACATCATCTACATATTTGCACTAGAATTTAATAACAGTGGAATTGTTGACTCACCTCAAATGCAGGCCCAATTTTGAAGACTCCCATGACCTGCTCCTTGGACACCAAGGTGAGAAGTGGGATCAGTGCAAAAGGTATCTGCATAGACTGTAGGACATTGAGCCATTCATTCAATAAATCTAAAGATGCTTCTGATTTGTTGAAAACCAGTGCCACAACTATGGTTGGTAAAATTGCACAACTTCGAGTTATTAGTGCCCTCAACGATTTTTTTAACCGAAGGTTAAGAAATCCTCCCATTATAAACTGTCCAGCATACGTGCCAGTAATAGTACTACTCTGCCCGGCTGCCAATAATCCAATACCCCATATGTAGAGAATTGGAAAGAGTCCACCGCCATACTTTTCTTGAAGATACTGTCCTGCATTTACTAAGCCTATACTATCTGCCTGTTTACTGCCATAGAACCCTTTAGCAAAGACAGTTGTGACAAATAGATTGATCATGAAGGAGACGAGAAGAGCAACTGAAGACTCAATTGCGTAATAATTAATGGCCTCCTGGACCTCACCTTTCTTGTCAGGGTCAATCTTTCTTGACTGCACCAAAGCAGAATGTAGAAAAACGTTATGAGGCATTATTACACAACCCACAACTCCCACAGCTTGTCGAATTGTTCTTGAGCTGATCTTTGGAACCAAAAGACCTGTAAATATTACAAACAGACATGATCGATAATCCATACAGATGCATTTTTATTTATTTATTTTTGTTTTAATTTTTCTTTCAGTTCCTCATTTATTTCCATCTATCCTCCAGTTGGGGAGTGGAAAAGGTTACATATAGGTAATATATCCAGTCATTTTCTTTTCAAGTGTGCACAGCATACTTTAGTCACTAACCTATCAGAAGCTCCTTCCCACTGGGTTTAGTGTCAGCAAACATCCAAGCAAATGAAAGTCCCATTGTTGCAATAAGAACTGCAAAAACAGCTTCTAACTTCCTCACTCCATAGTTTTCAAGAAGTAAAAACATAAAACTGTATAACAAGTTAACAAAACCAACTTTAGTAACCAAATTGAAACTCCTATTAATTAATTAAAATGCATACAGTTACACATACATGGTGTCACAAATGCACAACACAGTGCGTATAATAATGAAGCTCCTTTGGTTCATGGGAAAAGGGGATATTAATAATGAATCCCACATTATGTTGTATTTTCAATTGTTTATTTGATCAGTAGGCAAGTATGCATGTCTTTCAGAAATATAGTTATTAGACAATCCCAAGGGATTCTAGGATAGTTTATCGTGCAATTACAATAAGCTGCAAAGATGTAGCTTACTTTGTATGTCATCCTTTACCTCTCTTACTCCCTCCCCTCTCAAACTACATGTCTACCTACACAATCCCCTTCCTTCAACCCGTACCTCCATCGCTTCACCGCGGTGCTGGCCCTGGCTATAGTGCGGGGTAGGCGATCGCCTAAGGCCCCATTTTGGTAAGGCTCCCAAATTTATATCTTTTACATGTATTTTTACATATATATAGGGTCTCATATTTGAAATTGGTCTAAAACCCCCAAAGTCTTAGGGCCGGCCTAGCTTCACTGCCACCCTCTAGCCCATCTTCAGCCTTCAAATTCACCATCATCCGCCACTCACTTTCCAATTTCCATCACCACTGACTCCCATCCTTTCATCATCAATACAATTTAGGTAACCCTTCTCCACCCTCCTCAAAACCTAGCTCCAAATCTCTGATGTATAGCCCCAGCCTACGACTTTCCTAACCATGCCCCTTCAACCAACACAAATCGAGTGCTCATCTCAAACCAATAACAAGATTGTCTTGGTCTAAAAAAGGAGCAGATAGGCTGGTGGTGTTTCGTCAGGTTCCTTTTAGATGTGAGTCTGTGCAAGTCTAGACCCTTGTTCATTGCTTTATTTCAATTTTCAACTTTTGATTAAGAAGTGGATATATATGTTAGAGTCAAAACAATTTCCATTTCAACCGTGATTAACTTTAGAAAATAAAAAATAAGATTTATTGAGAAAGAAAAGATTAACTCAAGAAAATAAATAATAAGATTGATTGAAAAAGAAAACCAAGTCTATAGCACCTCATTATCAGTGCAAAGATGACTGGCTTATCTTGGAACATGAGTAAATAAGACACAAGTGGTTTCTGCGTATGAGAACCCCGAGGGCAATCACAGAAGAAAGTCCACTTACAGATACATGGGCAAAGCAGAGTCTTTTTCTCACACAATTAGCAGTACGTGAAAAAAATATAGCAAATTCCACCAAAAAAAAAAAAAAAAAAAAAACCC